GAAAGACACCCAACACAGCCCTGAAGTACTGAGGCAAGGGACTGCGCTTGAAAATTCTAATAACCCCCATAGTGAGAAGCCTTCCCATGCACAACACATGGTGCTAAATAGTTCTTGCACAGGATAAGAGTTCAATTTTAATTTAAAATACAGATAGAAAAATTATGTAAACTACTTATATGTAATAAAACTTTAATTCTTATGCCTAGATCCTCATTGTTTTCCTCTTCTCTCCAAGGACAAATCCAATTTTACCTAATCTAGCCTTAACTCACTCTCAGCCCTCATAAACTAAATTGGACTAGCCCCACACCATCCCCTTAATTACCTCCATGGCACAGCCATGTCTGGGTCCAGTTTTTGCATCTCTGGGTGCAAAATTCTCTTCAATGCTAACCAGGTGTGCTCATTAACTCCAATGTGCCCATGTAATGAGGATCTGCAGCCTTGGTATACAGAAGAGAATGTAACTACCAAGGATGTAAACACCAGACCAGGCTGATCCTGAGCAATGGAGGTAGTTAAGGGGCTGGAGTAGGGAGGGCATTTTGCAGTTTAGGAAGTGAGTTAGGGTTACTTGTACTTTAATAATAGAGTCTACCTTGTGGGGCTCCCAATACCAGACTGGGATATACATTAAAGCAGCACCAAGCCCTAATACTACACTGGATATAGGATTGCCATGCTTGCTGGACCTAGTATGGTATTAGTGATGTTACATGTTATAATAAACTGTTAAATCAAATAAATAAAGTTCAATATTGCTTGCTATAATATGACGTACGAACTGTCAGAGAGTACAATAACAGCATTTCACCTGCTTGTGACAGATGAAAAGTTAAAAACAGTCAAAACACAGTAGATTAGAAGTTCACCTAATCAAAACCCAAGTAAAGACAGTTCAGGCATTTATAACACCTAAAATAATGCATTTAACATTTTTCTCTTTTAAGATCATTATTATCTCAATTGAAAGGTGACTTTTACCATGCTATAAGTGCTATCTTATATTAATACGTCAAGTCTTAAATGTCAGAGTTGGAAACACTGATTTTTATTTCATATTAAAGCACATCTACTCAATTCAACTCCAGATCTGAGGTATCCTGGAGCTTCTTTACTGGCCTCTGAAAACTTCAGTCAGTTTTATTCTGGATACCAATCTTTGGCCATTTTTCGGTTGGGCCAAGATGAGATCTCTCGCAAACATAAGCAGATCGGCAAATGTGGCCTGCAGACAGCCAAGTAAGAAGCTGTAATGTAGAAGAGACATACCATAGGATGTATTTTCTGCATTAAAAGACCAGTTCACATTTTTTAATTACAATTCTACTTTAAGCAACCTGGATTTGCACCAAAACAAAAATGTATATGTGAACCCAATCAATACATTTTAAAAAAGTTCTTTTTAAAATGTTTAATTTTGATATTTGGCTATCTTCATACTGTTTTATGCTTCACTCTTGCATATGTTGCACTATGCAACTTTTGGATAAAGTTATTACAAAAGAAAACAAATTTATTTCAATATTTCATTAAAATTATACCGCCATCCTTCCATGAAGGTCCTTGGTAACTTTATATAATGGCAATGTGGTGTCCGTGTCTCCCAATTGTGCTCCTGCCTTGTCATCCCTTCTTATGGAGTGGCCATTTCAGCACACATTATACAGGCATGGTCTGCTGTTGTTACCTTAAAAAAAATACTCTGAGTATAAAGTGGTTCAGGAGATCAGCAGCATTGCCATGGGACCAAAGAAAAAGAAAAAAACAAGTGTTTTGGTAATTGTTTATGATGCACAGTGCCTTAGCACCTGACGCACCTGACCATAAGACGCACCTAGTTTTTAGAGGAGGAAAACAAGAAAAAAAATATTCTGAACCAATGGACTGCAGACATACTGTATTACAGGACATGACCAGAAACTGCAGATGTACTACAGGAGATGACCAGAGACTGCAGACATAGTACAGGAGATGACAAGAGACTGCAGACATTGTACAGGAGATAACCAGAGACTGCAGACATAGTACAAGAGATGACCAGAGACTGTGGACATAGTACAGGAGATGACCAGAGACTGCAGACATAGTACAAGAGATGACCAGAGACTGTGGACATAGTCCAGGAGATGATGACCAGAGACTGCAGACATAGTACAGGAGATGACAAGAGACTGCAGACATTGTACAGGAGATAACCAGAGACTGCAGACATAGTACAAGAGATGACCAGAGACTGCGGACACAGCACAGGAGATGACCATAGACTGCAGACATAGTACAAGACATGACCAGAGAATGTGGACATAGTACAGGAGATGACCAGAGACTGTGGACATAGTACAGGAGATGACCAGAGACTGCAGACACAGTACAGGAGATGACAAGAGACTGCAGACATAGTACAAGAGATTACCAGAGACTGCAGACATAGTACAAGAGATTACCAGAGACTGCGGACACAGTATAGGAGATGACCATAGACTGCAGACATAGTACAAGAGATGACCAGAGACTGTGGACATAGTACAGGAGATGACCAGAGACTGTGGACATAGTACAGGAGATGACCAGAGACTGCAGACACAGTACAGGAGATGACAAGAGACTGCAGACATTGTACCGGAGATAACCAGAGACTGCAGACATAGTACAAGAGATGACCAGAGACTGTGGACATAGTATAGGAGATGACCAGAGACTGCAGACATAGTACAAGAGATGACCAGAGACTGTGGACATAGTATAGGAGATGACCAGAGACTGCAGACATAGTACAAGAGATGACCAGAGACTGTGGACATAGTACAGGAGATGAACAGAGACTGCAGACATAGTATAAGAGATGACCAGAGACTGTTGACATAGTACAGGAGATGATGACCAGAGACTGCAGACATAATACAGGAGATGACCAGAGACTGCAGATATACTACAGGAGCAGGGGCGGACTGACCATTTGGAAACTCGGGCACTGCCTGAGGGCCCAGGGCCAGTAGGGGGCCCCATGAGATGCCCCTGGTACCTTTTTCATAGGCTTTTTTGAGTTTGGGCAAGGACACAGGGGCCCCATGATCCCCTTTGCCCGGGGGCTCCATGAGTTTTCAGTCCGCCCCTGTACAGGAGATGACCAGAGACTGCAGACGTATTACAGGAGATGACCAGAGACTGCTGAGGTACTACAGGAGATGCCCCGAGACTGCGAACATATTACAGGAGATGACCAGAGACTGCGGACATATTACAGGAGATGACCAGAGACTGCAGATGTACTACAGGAGATGACCAGAGACATCAACCTTAATAGTGCATACTGGTAAGTGATAATATTTATGTTGTTCACTGTATATTGTAATGCAATGTAATTATTTATTTGGTTTTATTATTCATGTATTCGGTTTTGCTAATGTATATTTTCTTTCTCAGAAGCTTGATACTTGGTCTCTGAATTCTGTTTGATCTTTTCATAATATCACAGTGCTTAGAATCTGCTTTACTATCTATATGGAACGAACAGTTCTCACTGTTCCTTAGAATTGTAAAGGAGTTCTATTTTCATTGTAGGAAGCTAGGCAGTTTTCATTTAGTAGAAGGGCAGCTGATTTGCATCATTAAGTATATCATCTGCTTGCACATTAATCACGCATTGATATGTCACTGTACATTAATAAAGTAGGGAGGACAAGGAACTACCCATTTTTTTATTTACAGTTGTATAAAATAATCCAACATTATCTATAGCACATAATAGCTTCATGCTTTTTTGATGTCTTTAATTACGCTGCTTTCCTTGCTTGCCCGCGTAATTATTTTCCTATAAATTACACATCATAAATCTGCCTGTACAGAAATACATCAGGGACTATTTATAAAGATTTTAAACAAAGATAAAGATTTAAAAATTTTAAGGCACTGGTTTTAGGAGGCAATTTGCAAGCTATGTTCTCTCTTATGTATAAATAAGTAATACAATTTAAAGCGGTTTTAAAGGCTCAACATTTTTTACCTTCATGCACTCTATGCATGATGGTAAAAAACCTTCAGTGTGCAGCAGTGCCCCCAGCCCCCTATACTTACCTGAGCCCCATCAAGATCCAACAAGAGGCATGACAGCCTCTGCAGCCACAGCCAGTCAGCCAATGAGGAGAGAGAGGGGACGGGGCTAAGCTGCGGCTCTGTGTGTGGATGGACACAGTGGATGGAGCAGTGGGTCCCCCATAGCAAGCTGATTGCTGTGGGGGCACATGACAGAAAGGAGGAGCCTGGAGAGCCTGCGGGGGACCTGAGAAGAGGAGGATCCAGGCTGTTCTCTGAAAAACCACTACACAGAGGAGGACAGTATAGACATGTTTGTTATTTTTTTAAAAAAATATTATTATTATTATTATTATTATTAATAATAATAATAATAATGATAATAATAGCCTTTAGTAACACTTTAAGGTTAAATATAAAAATTCCTATGAAGTATTTATAGGTAATGTGTAATATTTTTTTTCTTCATATTTTAAGTCAGTAGATGGAGCTCTAAGCTCATGTTCATGTTTACCAGGAAGAAACTAACCCCTTTCCACCCACTCAGCATCCCTTTAATCACCACTTGGTCGAATGATGGCTACAGCGCAGTTGTTGATATGACATCCTCCCAGAACGTGCCCTCCCCCAGTGGACACAGCTGATCACCTGGTAAATACAGTTGCAGGTTATCAGCTGCAGTTTCCTCACACTGTGACAGAAAGTACTGCTGATAACCAGCAGTTGTCAGAGAACAGATCGGCACTGATCATCAGGGCACTGATGATTAGTGCCACCCGACAGTGCCACCCACCAGTCCCCGGCAATGCCACCCACCTGTGCCCAGAAGTGCCACCCACCAATGCCCAATGCCCAGTAGTGCCCCCCATCAGTGCTGCACAGCAGTGCTGCTCATTAGTGCCCATCAATGCCATCTATGAGTGCTGCCTCATCATTGCAGCATTATCAGTGCCACCTATCAGTTCCCATCAGTGCTGCCTATCAGTGCCCATCAGTGCTGCCTATCAGTGCCCATCAGTGCTGCCTATCAGTGCCCATCAGTGTTGCCTATCAGTGCTGCCTCATCAATGCACATCAGTGAATGAGAAAAATTACCTGTTTGCAAAATGTTATAAAAGAAACAAAGAAAATTTTTTTTTTCAAATGTTTTGCTCTTTTCTTGTTTATAACGCAAAAAATAAAATGCCCAGTGGTTATTAAATACCACCAAAAGAAAGCTCTATTTGTGTGAAAAATGGACACATTTGTGTACAGTGTTGTCATTCAAAGTGCGACAGCGCTGAAAGCTGAAAATTGGCCTGGGCAAGAAGGGGGTATAAGTGCCTGGTAGGCAAGTGGTTAAACAGTTTAGAATGACCAAAGGGTGGGAAGGATAAGCAATCATGTGACCACTGTCAAATGATCAGAAGCTAGTCCTGTTGGGGGGATCGGGTACCTTTTTTGACAGGTACTCACTGCCACCTCTGCTCAGACAACTTTGGCAATCCAAGCAAACGTTTGCCCCCCCCCCCCCTTTCCCTTCCTGGCTTCCTGGGACTTGTCACAGACCCCAAGTGCAGTAGGAAGCTGGCTTTGAAGCTGCTAGATCTCCTTGCCAACTTCCCATAGTAAAGATGCCGGTGCCAAGGACCTGAAGATTGGTGAAGAAGCCAGCCTGGTGAGGACAGCACTGGATCCCTGGACAGGTAAGTGTCATTATATTAAAAGTTTGCAGATACAGTATTTAAGTATTTTTGGGGGCACTATAGATTGTCTAAAGTTTAAAGTGAAATAATAAATGTTTGTAAATAGTGAAAAATATAGATATAAATATCAGTTTATAAATACTATATTGAAAAATAATTCCAACTAAAACATGTGTGTTTTGCTTCAGAAAACGTTGCTTCAAAACAGTTTCCAAATTTGCATACAAGAATTTGTAACAAAGTGGAAAGCAAATAGTTGTAGGTCCATAAGTATAAAAAAAAACACCAAATCAGAGATAATTAATGATGAACTTCAGTCAAGAACCTAAATACACAGTTAGAATTAATTTTGTGAACTGTTTACCTTTCAGTTTTTATTTCTGTTCATCCAGTCTTGTGATCAGTGCACTGCAGCTCGCAAGCCCAGCCAGGCCCATGATCCATAGTGTAATAAAGCAGTACATATTGGCCATACTCTCACCCCTAGCCCACTGGCTAAACATGGAAGGAGGAGAAGCATATTGAGATCATCATCCCTGTGGTACCACTATGTCCCATAACATAATTGCATTAGAATGATTATACTTGGCAAAGCAATATAATTTTACTAGTGCAACATTGCCGCACCTACCTGTCCCAATATGAGAGAGTTCTAAACTAGGATCAGAAGTTAAATTGTTCAAAATACAAAATGACAACCTAATAACCTAATGACCACCATAATTGCTGGGGATAATATGGGCCATGATAGATAGTGCTAGGACTGTGATAGCATGTTGATACTCCTCATACATTAATCTTCCAGACAAAGGCCTTCTACTTACAATGCCCATTAAAATACAGTATGTGTTTTTTTTTGCAAACAGGCATATATTATAAAATGTATGTAATATATGCCACAAGCTTAGCCAACCATTTTTATGTTTTTATAAATAGCTGATATACATAATAAATGACAACGATAAATGCATTAAAATTCTTTTATGAACATTGGATTATGTAATGTTCATCAGTGTCTACTACAACAATCATAGTTCTGTACTTCAGGTTTAATTGACTGGGAAATACTTTTCATGTCTTGTAGATGGCAAGTGAAAGCACTTACTTGGGTAGACATAACCCTTTCACTTGCTTTACACTGCATGATATATTCTCATTAAAGCTTCTTATCCTCTGATTGCTGGATTTACAAGAGCACAATAAAAATTGAATTTTCTTGCCTTTAAGTTAAACTACTTTGATTAAGCAGTGTTGGAGTCAGATCGTTTCTTTTACATTCCACGCTGTGAGATTAGTCTTTCTGGATAATGCACCAAGATGTGAAGCCAACAATTGTTAATTTTAAATGTTTGTGCTCACCAACCCTTATTTTAAACACAGTTGTTGCTCTGAGCTTAAAGATACATATATACTTCTTAGGCAGGTTTTAAATAATGCTTTTGTAAGCATTTACTTATAATGATCTATTTAAAAGTCATCTTTGTTGGCTCTATTCATGGTTCTCCTATTGTTCTTTTGTCATTTGCTAGCTTGGAGCGTCTTTAAATCTCCTTAAAAAGTAGCTGTTTCAGAATGCCAGTTCTAATCAGAGAAATTCTAGTAATAAGCTTTGAGTATTCACCGTTTGCTGAAAATCCCTCAGAACTGCAACTCAGTTTCTGCTGTGTATACCTTTCTCTTTAAAAATGTTAAAGTAGAATTTCATGTTTAATGGCACTTTTAATACTGTTTCGTTAGTCCAAAAATTTGCAGCAGTAATATAGGGCATGCCAGCCATAACCATAGACCTATATCCAGGACATGAGCAGAAAAACGAGCCTTTTGATCTGGCACTAAACGTACAAAAAACAATTTAAAACAGAACTCCACATTTAAATTTTACTTTAAATATTTTGTTTTGGCTGAGCTGTCCCTAATTAACCACTTCCATTATAGAATAATGTGGCTATTGGGGGTACTAGGGCCTAAGCATTCACTACATACAGGAAGCCATGCTATGTTCCCGAAGCAGTGTGGGTGATTTCCTATCTGCTTCCAAATACAGAGTCAGGCTTAATGTTTCTCCTACATACAGGAGAAGCCTAGTGTTTTTATAAATAAATACTAGGCTTCCTCTGACTGGAAGAGGTGGAGAGGTGGGTGGATGATGTCACAATCTCTATCTATTTTTTATTTTAAAAAAAATCTAATTATATAAAGGGTATTTTGATTATTTTTTAACAATTGTGGAAGTTAATTTTAATTTTAATATTTTTTTAGTAATCTAATATTTATGGTAAGGAATATTTAAAGACATTAAAAAATATTATAAAATATTAAAAATATATTAAACATTTTATCAGAGGATTTATAGTGAATAAATTAATATCAGTATTTATATAGATGAGTTGTAGGTTCATTTTATTAATGGTATTTGTGTTATTACTTAATTAGGTGCTTGACTGTCCTTTGGAGTGTTTTTTTTATTCAGTATCAATATTTATATAGGGCTCCTTTGTAGTATTCTGTTGTCACATTATTTAGTCTAATTATGTAAATATTTATTATGTTATATTTATTAACTTAAGTTTAACTATGTAAATGCTGTTAGAGTCATCATTTGTAGGTATGTTGATAGAGTATGGTCTGTTATATCCTATATGGATTATGCTATGTAAATTCCCCATATAAGATAGTGATGACAATAATATACATAGAGTATATGGGGGCTATACAGGCTTTATGGCATATGTGGTTTACCTGTATTTTACGCTAGGATTGCGTTCTGTAAAAAAAGTTTAGGATGCATTTGTTGTTGTTTGTGAGACTGTCTGGGCCGTCGTACGCATATATGGAATTCCTCGTTTTTATGGTATTCCCGGTATTTAGCACCAAACATCACTGGCAACACTCCCCTCTCTAACATGGCGTGGTTTTGTCTCAGGGCCAAGGAGAGGAGTATAAATATGACCTTCCTGTCTGACGATCGTATCCCTTATGAGTAAGTCCAGTGATGAAACGCGCCAAGGGAAGTGACGTCAGACGCCTACGGCAATCGGAAGTGGAATAGTGGCCATTTTGGAAAGTGTCAAGAATTACACCAAACACATGTGGATGTCCTCTGGACAGCAGAGAAGTTTGGATTGTGGATTTTTAAGGCATTTTAAAGGCTGTCATAATGTGAGCTTAATAATAAAGTATACATTTTATGGTGTTTTGGCGATATTACACTATTTACTCTTCATATATTGGCATTTCGGTGGAACATGGTTTGAGAAGGAATATGAGTGTTTATGCTGATTAACCCAGATGACATCAAGGGAGTGTGGCATCCTAAAAGATCTCTCCAGGAGGGCTATCTTAATATTGCAGTATATCTTGATGGCATTAAGGTGATATTAATATAGTGTTTTCGGTAAGGGTGTTCACTCCTTACTTTAATTAGAAGTGTACACTGGTTTGACACTTGTTTTTGGCACCGTGAGTGGTTCACCAACACGTTTTACACACATTTACTTTTCACGTAAGAGTGGTCACGTGTGTGTGTTACACAGTGCAGTGAATTCACACATTGTTTTATGAAGAATTTATTAAATAATGATAATGCACTATGTATGATTTCTTTCTTTTTGAGGTGGCACTGGTTGTGAAAGCCTTTGGGAGGTTCTGATATTTGGACAATTTTGAGAAAATCACCTTTATGACGTTTTTGAAAGACACTTGTGTGGTTTATTTATACTTTTTGGACTTTTTATTTTTTCTGGACTTTTGATTTTATTAATTTTATATTTTTCACATTGTGTGGTGACATTTGTTCTAGTGGCATATTTATCATTTAGTAACAGTTACATCTTCAAGGGTGAAGGTGGAATATATGCTATTAGGGGTTAATTCTATTTATTTTATTTTGGAGTGGTATTGCAATTAATAATCTCCATCTTGGCCAATAATAGCATGCCGTATATTCACTGATAAAATTACAAAGCTTTCTCTTGAATGGAAAAGAAGTATTTAGCCCAATTCTATCATTCCTGGAAGTCACATGCTGCTGGAACACAGCACTGTTTACTGTATGTAGCTAATGGTACTACAGTCCATTACAACACACCCAGCAGCCATATTATTCTGTAACAGAAATTGCTTCTTTTGGACTAGCTTGCCCCAAACAAAATAAAGTGAAATTAAACATGGAATTCTAATTTGCATAGTGACATTGCATATTCAACAGGTTAGTCTGTCTGCTCATGCCCTGGATTTAGGTCTATGACTTTGTTCCTGGCATGCCCTCGATTACTCCTGCAAATGTTTGGTTCATCCTTAGCTGTGCTTATCCTGCTCATTGGCCTGTATATTTTTTTTTTTTGTTATTGTGT